GCCCGGCTGCTGCCTTATCCTCAGGGAGCCCCAGAACCTCTGGGGTCAGAGCTGCCCTCCACCCTGCGGGTGGCTGCTGGCTGAAAGCCCCCAGAGGCTTTCAGCAATTTGTTTTCATGATTTTTTTCAATATTCAGCTGTGCAATCTTTTTGTTAGGAGCAACGTGTTTCTACATTTAAAAGCGGTTTTAGCTGGAAAGACTAAACCAGGAATGGAAGAGTAGAGGTGACAGTGGCAGCAGCAGTGACAGGCGACTTTGCTGTACACAGCCTGACCTGGCTGCTCTGCAGGCTCCTCTTTCCCAGCTCTTTTCTTCTCTTTGGTTTGTTGGTTTTTTTCTCCCCAGTTGAAAGTGGACAATCTCCCTCCCCGGGTGGTCTTGCTGGCGCTCTCGCCGGGCTCAGGGCTCTCCATGGTCATCTTAGTCCAAAGGACCACTGCTGGGAAAAGGTGAGTGGGTGATGGTGCCCACAGGGATGCTCCACTTGGGGGGACTGGGAGGGCTGGCTGGCCCCCCGGGTTTGTCTCATGGTGACCGAGCTGTCCCTGAGCAGCTTTATAGGGGGGACATGGAAGCCACACTGGCCACACACCCGTGGGCATCCCCAGGTTCAGCTCCAGGAGCTGCCCCTTCACTCTCCTCGGTGTCAGAGCCACCTCCCTGGCAGGTGAGTCCCAAAGGACAACACTGAGGCTCGGCCCAAATCAGTAACCACCACACCTCCTAAAGGTGGGTGACAGTGCTGTTAGAAGTTTCAGTCCCCAGGTCTGGGTTTCTGCAGAACAATCATTTCTCACTGGTCGTTTTTTCCCCTAAGAAAAGCAAAATGTTGTATGGACAAATGGGGATCTGTGGAATTCTGTGCAACGTTCCCTTTGGCACCATTCCCATTTGAGTGCTGTGCTCCTGGGATGTCAGAGCTTCTTTCAGGCATGGAAACCTTTAGCTTTGTTTGAAGCCAGAAGATGGCATTCTTGAGAAAAGGTTTGTAAAGAGAAGAAACATCTTTCATTAGACATTAGGCATATTTTGGCCTAATCCATTACAGGTAGGTTCTTTAGCACTCAGCTGTCTTGCCCTCTGAATTCCAGTAAGTCACTCTTGCTCTGTGTGCAGCACTGCAGCAGCTGACGTGATTCTCTGCCCAGGACGCTGCCCAAAGTCACGAGCAAGTGTCTGGACAGCACCCTTCAGAAAGTGCTGCTGGGTCTGGCAAGTCCTCCTCCCGGAGATCATCTCCTCCTCTCCCTCCTCCTCCTCACTGCACCGTAACAGGCTTCACGGTTTTGCCCCACAAGGGGGCTCGCAGGCTGGTGCCAGGAGCGTCCTGAGCAGGAGCTGGGTTTATGCAGCCAGGACCCACAGTGAAGGGGCTGGCCCTGCCCAAACCCCCTCAGCGAAGGGGCTGGCCCTGCCCAAAGCCCCTCAGCGAAGGGGCTGGCCCTGCCCAAACCCTGCCCAAACCCCCTCAGCGAAGGGGCTGGTCCTGCCCAAACCCCCTCAGCGAAGGGGCTG